AGGAAAGAAGGAATTGGAATCAATATGAGAAAATGAAAAAATGGAAACAAAGTCTTTGTAAATAGGGAGGGATGGAGGGGTTGAATGGAAGGCAGGGGAATGGGGAAAAAGTAAGAACCAAGAGAGATTATGCAAAGTCGCAAATTTTCAATAAAAAAAAAAAATTGTGCTTTAAAGAAGACTGCAACATAGGATACAATCAAATTTACATAAGGTTGTCCATATCTCTACTTCCCAGGAGTGTTTATATTCCTTTTCTTCCATCACTCTGAAAATTCTGTAAAGGTAATATAAGTTCAAAAAGTACCTTCGTTGATAAGGGGGAGAAACTTAATTTTAAGATAAAGAAACAGATTCAGAGTGTTCAAACAATGCTTTTGGGCAAAATATCTTAGATCGCCCATTTTTAAAACACAAAATAGACTGTTTGTGCCTTTCTCCTGTAAAAGAGGCCATTACCTTTCTATCCATCAGTTCCCCATCACTTTTGTCCCTTAGTAAATAAAGCCCAAACTTTCTATAGATTCACAATTCCACAGATTTCCACTGCCAAAGACATAAATATTCAGACTACAGTACTACTTTATTTTTTGAAGGCCCATGCTTTTTTCCTTTGAGTGTGTACTTTGAAGTCTGCCTAATAAATCCTTCCATGACTTTTACTGATATATCCTGAAAATCATTTTTCTTTAATGGAAGTAAGTGAACTTGTAAAACTGTCTTCTGGATAGGGTAAGTCAGGATTCCCCATCTGTGCTTTTGGGGACTGCTTTGGACCCCGTTTGGTGACACCACCTCCTTGTGGTTTAAAGTTATGAATATGGTTTCCATTTTGTAAAAAAACCCAGAGCACATTTTCAAGACTCCTTACATCTATTTTCCTGGAGTGCAATCTTAATGAGCCCCAATAAGCACAATTTTCCTTTGTTCTCTTAAAAATAATTAAAATAGAAAAAAATAATCTTGTAGGATAGGAGTTTCTCAAAAGCATAGCTGGAGAGCGGAGAGCAGGTTGGAGAAGGGCATCTTCAGAAACAAGATGAATAGGAATGAGGCTGTGTAAGAAATGGTGCTGAGGCTTATAAATTAGACTTTTTCATACTCATTAGTAAAAACATGTCCTTTAAGTAACAATGATATTCCAATATGTATTTTTTGATTATTGGACTGGGTTTCTTGTAAGGATACTTTGTGTTGCGTCTGAGCTCTGAGAATCCTCACTCACTCTAAAGTTACATTAAGAAGCTTTTCGTGTGTGGTGAAAAGCTAAGCGCCTGCTCCCTTTAGCAATGAGGGAGCTTCAGTTTCTGAACTGGACCCGGCGGAGGTAAATTGATTCCATTCCTCTGAAAGCTGGCTTCAACGTGGTGACTGTTCTCTCAGTTCTTCTCAAATGAGCATGTAACAGGGTGAGGACTGGCTTGCGGGCACCCTAGATGGTCACAGACTGAACACCTAAAAATGGACAAAGAGAACAGTGATGCTTCATCTGAACCTGCTGACCTGATAGTAAGTATGGTGTGTGTGGGAGCCTCCTCTCCTACTTGAATAACATTTGTAGTTGAACCTGTTAGTAAAATGAGCCCTTATGACTATAAAAAGAAAGGGACCCCCAAAACCCCTTTATTTTTATAGCACTTAATAGATTTTACAAATGTGAGATTGTTTTAAAGTACTTTACTTGGCAATTGATTAGAAGCTGTTTCTCTAAAACTCCAGGGAAATTGTGCTGATCTTAACACAAATTCCACTTTAAAATTTAATCAGGGCTAACTGAGACTGCCTATAATGTGTTCTTGCACTAAAAGATCCAACTTTATTCTTGTCAGTTCTGTATGCATTGGCATTTCTGTGTATTTCTTTCTCTTACATATCTTAAGGAAGGCCTGAAAGTAGAGTGATACCATAGTCAACTCCTACAGTGGAATATTTTCTTCTCTAGATACACACTCCTCACTCCTGCAAGACCCCACAGTAAATGATGTCTGCTCTAGTTCAATTTCACCAGGAGGGATACAAGCGACATTTCACTCCGAGGGTTGACAAGGGTGTTTGGCAAAAAGAATAAGGGAGCCATAAATAATTCAAAGTGTACTTGGCCATATATTATCCCATTAATTGGCAGGATTAAAGACTAGAAGACATGAATTTTGAAGAGAAAAGTGAGGAAGAATAAAAGAGAATGGAGAACTTGTAACAAAAGCACAAAAGAGAGAATTATTCTTTCAGAGTTGGAATGGTCGATTGTCCTCTTTAAAAGAATGTGTGGTTAAAAGTTATTTCATCACTGGAGTTTAGTTACCCTGACATGCATAAATCTCTTTGTCAAAGAAGCTAAAGTCTTGCATACATTATTAAAGAATTCACAGCATCAAATAACAGAAGGTAGAAGAGAAAATAAAAGAGGAGGAGGAGGGGAAACAGTTAAATAATGTATTTTTTTCCTCTTCCACATAACACTTTGCACATCAATACATGTAAATCAATCATTTTCCAATTGGATGAGTTATCTATTTCATTCCTTGCTTTATGTTTTTGTTTTTGCTTTTCAGTTTTGGATTTTTAAGACAAAGTCTCACTGTGCAGTTCAGGCTGGCCTTGAACTCACTGTGTAGCCAGGCTGGCCTAGAACTTGCAGTGATCCTTCTGCCTCAGCCTCCCACGTGGTGGGATTACAGGTGTGTGCCACCATGCCTGGCTCCTTGTTTTATTTTAAAATTATTATTTCATTTATGATGGAAAAGCTGTCATTTGATAGACCAGTTATTTTTTTGCTTTATTTTAAAATTATTCTTTCTTTATGATTGAGAAACTGAGTCACCAATCAGTTCAGTGGTTGGCAATAGTAAAACAAGCATGTTGGATTCCCTTCCTACAACCCTACACAATCACCTTAACTTTTTCTTCCTACCATTCAGTATCAGTCATGAAGCCATAATTAGGAAATCAATTTATTTCTGTGAGAAATCTCATTTCAACTCTTATTTTCAATGCTGCCTCAGACAAGAAAGAATTGGTTGCAAGGGAAAAGCAATATAACAAATTTTTTTTGTTGTTACTGGGGATCAAACTTGGGCCCTTGTGTTTTCGAGGCAGGCAGCAGAACCACTGAGCTAAATCCCTGGCCCTAACACAAAAATTTGAAGGACATACTCAGAGGGCTGAGAACACACATGAATCTACCCACACAGAATCTTTACCTTCACCCCTGACCTTCAGATCTTTTGGTCTACTTTGCTCCGTGAAATTCAGGCTTCTGTTCATTCATTAAGCAGAGTTGGAGAGTTGAGACAGGACCTAGGAGCCATTTCAGTAGGGTTGCTGTAATGTCTAGTTTTTCTGATCTTCACTGTGTGTTTTGATGCAAATCCAGTTATTACTTTTACATAAATAATTTAACTAATGCAGAGAGTCTTTTTATCAGCAAGATCACTCTAGTAGGTAGTTCCATTTAAGCTCTCAACTACTTCTAATGATAATGTATCTTTCTTTTTTAACAGATATCCAATATATCAATTCAGGTGGTCAGTGTTCCCGGGAGGCTACCAAGGAGAGGACCACCTCGAAAACCAATTGGCAAAGCCAGGCCCAACAAGCAATCCAAAAACAGAGCTCCCTTTTGGAACGTCCAAAACAAAATCATTCTCTTCACAGTGTTTTTATTCATCCTAGCAGTCATAGCCTGGACACTTCTGTGGCTCTATATCAGTAAGTTAAATCCATCTTCCTTTGGGACTAGGGCTTGTGGTGTGAGTCCTGCACTGTCATAGGGGCCTAGCCTGCCCCAGGGGCCTGATGGAATTGTCCTCTTTCCTACAAAGACACACTGTTCCAAAACTGGTATTGAGGCTTTCAGGAGAAAGAAACCAGGATTGTCTTCCTCCTTTCTTCTTTTACCATGGCCACTTTCTTCCATAGACCAGAGGAGGAGAGATGGCATATAGGGTAGGAAGAACTGAGGAAGATGCTCAGGAGATTTTGACTAGTTCAGAATATAATGCATTTGTAGCTTTAAAAAATTAATGGAATGTTAAGCTGCTTCATTTCCACATTCCACCCACAGCCTGTTTCTAGGCAACCTTAAATTCCTGGCTCCCTGAGCTCCAGTTCACAGAAGCATCTTCCTCTCCTCTGTGGTTGTTTTTGTCATCTAATTGATCCTTTGGACAGATGAGATACCTAAGCTCTTTCTTACAGAGTACTTATGCAACTCAGGAACTACAGTCCTTGTTGACTTGTGTTGGAGTTTCCACTCTGTACACGCTAGTATATCTGATATAAGATACATGTACTGTGATATTATGAAATACATGTATTTGGAATACTTGGTCTGTGTCCTTGGTTTCTGACAGAAGGGTTCTGACCTTCTTGTAAGCTTCTGAGGGATAGGTCTGATAGGAGCATCTTTTGCTATAACACTTAATCTTAGGCTCCAGGTCTTTACACAGAGCTTCTAAGAATGTCTTTTCTATGTTAACAATATGATTGATGGCTGAACCTTCCTGGAAACCTGGAAGAACTAATCATGTGATTAGAGAATCATAACTTTTAGTCTCCTCACTTCTTAGAGGCAGGGTGGAGTGGGAGGAACTCTGCTGAAGATTGAACTCAATCAGTAATGACCAGTTATTTAACCAATCATGTCTACATAATGGAACCACTACAGAAACCCTAAAGGACAGAGTTTAGAGGGCTTTTGGGCTGGTAAAAATACTTATTTTCTGGGAGGGTGGCATGCCCCACATCCATAGGGACAGAGGTTCCTGTGCTTGGGTGCTGTATCTCTTCATCTGGCTGTTCATTTCTACTCTTTATAATATCCTTCATAATAAGCCAGACAGAGTAAAGGTTTCCTGAGTTCTGTGAACCATTGCAGCAAATTATCACATCTGAAGTGGTTGTGGAAACACCTAATTTGCAGAAGCTGTGTACTGTACGCAGCCTAGGGACCTAGTATTTGTGACTGGAATCTGAAATGGGAACAGTATTGTGGGACTGAGTCCTTAATCTGAATAGCTAGTTCTAGAATTAAATTGCATTGTTAGCTACCCAGTTGGAGTCTGTGGAGAATTGAAGAACTGCTTGGTGTGGGGGAAAAAAACTCCACACATTTGAAGTTGGAAGTATTTTAAGTAGAAAAACCAATTTCTTCGGTATATTCTCTAGGATATTAAAATCGGATTGTAAAGCAAAATTTAAAGGCAAAGAATTAATGAATAATCTCAAACAGTTTGGGTCACGTATATACAAATTGATCACATATAATTTACTTGGCACAGTGTAGTTCCTCAGGCTACCTTCAAAAAGCTGACAGATGCATTTACTACTTTCAAAAAGCTCCCAGTTCAGTACTGGAGTGTGAGTTGTTTATTTATTTTGCTTAAGTGATTATTTTGTGATCACAGAAGAGAGGCATTCAATCTGCCTAGGAATGGGGTCCAGAAAAACAGTTCCTGCAAATATACTTGGAAATCTTGGGAGTACCCACTGTGTGTGGCCTCTGTGGTAGGTATGGGGATACAGACTGGCAAACAGACAAACAATTTATGCCTTCTAGGAGCTTACAGACTAGTGGGGACATTTGGTTTGGTCTATGGGCAATTGAAACAAACACACAATTGCAACTGAAAGGAAGACAATTTATATTCCTGCTGTACCTCAACTGATGGATTTGTATTGGCTTGGAATTATTGCATAATTTGGACTACAATATACTTGTGCACAAGTAGTTTGTTAGCTGTGTAGTAATCGAGAAGGATATTTCATGGAGACAGACTAGTATGAGCAAAGACAATCTAGTATAGGTAAGTAACAATTGTTCAATAGAAAACAAGTTAGTCTGATCTGTGAAATTTGGGCATAGAGTGTAGCCTTGAGAATGAGGGGGACAGTTAATTAGGGAGATCATGGAGGATCTTGTATATTGGACTGAAGTAGAGTTAAGTAAATATAATCAGATTCAGTGCTAAATTGATCTCTCTTGCATTGCTACTGTTCTGACCCTTGAATACTTACTGATATGAGGAGGATGTGTGAGCTTCTAGAAAGAACTCATAGCCTTCACTCAGATTTAAAGAGTCTGTAACTAAAAATATCTAAGAAGCACCTGCGTGATAAAAAGAAAACTAAAGACAATTATTGTTTTATACGGGAGACCTAGCAAGGTGATCTACCATGGTCAATAACTAGAAAGAACAAATCCAGCACAGGACTCCAGGTCTCCTGCCCTCCCCTGTGCTCCCTACCCCTCCACAGCCTCACTGTTCTACTTGGTGTCAAAATGACTATCGTTAGGTCCTACGATGGAGGCTGCTTCCTGTCACCCCTGTAGATTGCATCTTCTTTTTACTTCATCATTTATTTGGCATTGCTGTGTGGTGGGCCTTGTGCTAGCAGGAAACATTCTCTTTCTCTCTCCCTCCACCCACTCCCTCCCTGCCTTCCTTCTTGAAAACATGTATTGAGCTCCAAAACTAAGCCTGGAATTATCTAGTTGGCTCCTGAGAAAAAAAAGTAAGTTGCTGTCCATTTTCTCTGAGAGCTTTCTCTGACACAGCCAGCTGCAGAAAGGAATGTACAGGGCCAAGGGATCCTGGGGAGGGTGCCAAAGTGGGGAAAAACCTTGGAAACTATTAAAGAAGGGTGAGAGGTTAGGCTCTTATTTTCCCTAGCTATTGCCAGGTGTCCCAAGGCAGTACAAAAGCCACAGCCTCTCTTTGCCTCTCGTCTCTGCAAAATTTCTGGGATGACCTAATATTCAATGCTACAGTCTTCAGGGGGCAGAGACTTTGAGGAGTACCTGACAAAGAGCTGTAGGACACACTGTTTGGCTCATTGGAAGGCTGAGTTTTCCATGCCTTGGACAGAACTGCAGATTGACCCAGGACCTGAGCGTTAGGCCACATAGTCGGCGATGGACAGAAGCTCCACTGATGATCAACAGGACCTGTTCCCTTCTTTCCCAATACTCAGTTTGCTGCTGAGCTTGATGGTACATGGTTTTACCTTCTTGCATTCCATAGTCTTGGAACCCATGAAAATTGTATATATTCTTTTTAACTCTTTTGAGACTCTAGCATTATAGCTTCTACCTTTAAATCTTGCCTATTGTATTTGGCAGAAGCAATCAGAAAGAACATAGCACTGTAAGAGATATAGTGATTTGCTGCTGATGGAAGAGATACCATTAAGTACTTTTAGAAGAGCATCGTAGAATAAGCTTGAGTAAAGTGTGTGGGTGCTAAAATAAAATCATTTTAGGAGCCTCAGACTAGCATTGCTCAGACAGCGCCTTGATGCCATGCACATGAGAAAATCCCCTAATCACCTTCTCTCCTATTTTGCAGGTAAGACAGAAAGCAAAGATGCTTTTTATTTTGTGGGGATGTTTCGCATCACCAACATTGAGTTTCTTCCTGAGTACCGACAGAAGGAGTCCAGAGAATTTCTGTCAGTGGCAAGGACTGTGCAGCAAGTGGTGAGGTGAAGGGGATGCGGGAGAGGCCAGCAGGGGGAGCCAGCGGTGCTGAGGGGTTAGGGCTTGAGAGGTGGGCTTGAGAGGTTGGCTTGAGAGGTCTGACTCACTGTCCAAGTGAGTGAGTCAGATTAAGGGAAGCACAGGACTGGGTGGATGAAGGGCGCTGGAGGAGAGCAAATGGGACTTAGCGCATCTTTGCTATAATACAGAATTGCTTCTCTCCCTCTCCTTGATGTAAAAAGAAACAGCTCTCTTGACTTCTGTTTTTCTTACCTGTGAAATAAAGAAACTGGGTCAGGTGATGCTTAAGATGATTTCCAGCTCTGATGTTACATGAATACTGATTAACTCTGTGATTGTGCACATTTATTTCAACCACTGGCAATCTCTTGGCTGTTGAAAAAAATTGCTCATTTAGAACTCATAAATATTTATTGGAAAGCTTAGTAAAATTCAGAGAAGTGAAAAAATTAAAATATTTAATGTTTCATTAGAGAGAAAGCCCCTTTTTATTCTGAGCTGCATTGACATAGGAAATAATGCAATATTGGAGTATTAGTACTCAGTTTTGTAATGATGTTTTCTTTTTAATATAACTTTGCATGTTTCTATGCTAGTAAATATTCTTTCAAATGCATAAGTTCTATTCACCTCAAAGTTAACAAATTCTTTTTTATTGGATTTTTAAACTGTTTTCATTTTTTGCTATTACGGAAACATGCAACAACAAAACTGCCACATAAATCATATGTATCTCTGGTTACTTCCTTAGATGATTTCCTAAAAGTATAGTTACATGGGCAAATACAAAAATACTTATTCATTGCTCTTGGCACATGCTGCCAACTAGAAAGTTTCTGCCAGTTTGTATTTCTACAGTCATGGGGAGGGTTGCTGGGCTGTGACCTTGATGATGTGCCAGGCACAGTGCAGGACAATGACAGCACCTGGAGTGGCTCTCCTTTACTAACCGATTGCCTTCTGGAACCTGGGCATGTTATTAACCCTTTACTGCTAAAACATGTGCACCAATTATTCTTCAGAGTGTTCCCAGGAGTAGGCATTTCAATCATTACTTTACTGATGAAAAAACAAAACAACAGAACAAAAGCAAGGGAGGCTCCATGGATTTAGGCAATCTGCTCTGTGTTGCACAGTGAATTTAAACTCCATCGCTCATGTTTTTGCACCATACTATGTGTTTGTAAAGGTTTTTAATGTTTATCCTGGACAATTAGGTTAGGTTTTGCTACTGTATAGAAAAGGGAACACAGGAGGAGAAGACTAGAGAAGAGAAGGAGTTTGGTTTTACGAATACTAAGAGAGGGCAAAGAAGGTAAATTGATTAAGAGACCTCTCCTTTGAGATGCAATTATTGAGTTCTAGGGGAAAATATAACATCATTGATCACATCCTACTTTTGTTACCACATAGCAGTGGTTCTGACAGATTCCAGGTTCTTGAGTGCAGCAAGCAATAACTAGCAAAGCATAGACTCCACAGTGGGGGAAAAGTAATTACATCTACTGAAGGCCACAGAGAAATGGATGATAGAAAAGGAACTCTGCATGCTGAGCAGATAAATCAGGCCCTTGGGCTCAAGAGGAAGAGAGGGATGGAAAAGGCTTGCATGTGCTTTGGCCGGGGTTATGGGACTCTGAAGGTGTCTACTGAGCTCAGGGAGGCAGAGGGAGTAATTGGAGGGATGGCCTGAGGGTGGTGCTCCAGTTTGCGTGAGTGGAGATGAGTGAGTTCCTCAGCTCCCAACATCCTATCTGCACTAATCTGAACATACAACTTTCTGATCTGGAGTCAAATACCACTGTTTTACCACAAGGCCTTCAGAGCTTCAGTTTTTAAATAGCTGGGTGCTTCCCTGAGAGACAGAGCTGAAAGGACATGGTGGACCTGGCTGTGGCAACTACCCGCCCCCTAGCGGCTGTTATAGGAACGAGTCCTTAAGAAAGAAAAGTTGGGTCAAAAGCTATGAAAATGGGATTAAATGAGTTTGATTTGTTAACTGTGGAGAAAGCTTTTGAAGTGGGCAGAACACAGAAAAGCTTGATCAGAGTCTTTAAAGAGAGCAATAAACAAATTAAGGTAACTATTCTTCACAGACAGACAGAATGAAACTAAGTAACCCAAGAATTGCTTCAGTAATAATGTATTTTAATTTAAGAAACAATGTTTGGGTTTAGAGTTAGAAGCCTTTAGTTAGAGGCTTGCTTTTCTCCTTGGTAGCTGACAGGGAATGGCATTGCAATGTGCAAGGTAGTGTAAAAGTTGTACCAATTTTTTTGACCCAAAATGAGCTCTTTTTCCCTCTCGGGATTGTGTGACCAGTAGCAGACCGAGCACTGATTAAGCAGTGAAGGAAAGGTAACTCTTGGCCCAAGGATAGGAGACACTGGAGACAGCCTCACAAGTCAGCCTCTCAGTCTACTGGAGGGGGAAAGTCAGAGATATAAGGTAAAAAAATGAGAGGGAGGAATAAGTTAATAAAGGTGAAGAATATTCAAGTCTTTTCTGGGACTGGGCAGAGATTTTCTGGGGATTCAGGTACCACTACGATGGGGGAAAACAACTGCCAACATGTTAGATGTTAGATGTTCATGGTCTCAAAACATCCACAAATGAAATTCCGAACCAAAAGAGGAGGTTAGGAGAGTTTTATTGGAAATAAAAGTAACTCCTGGATTTCAAGGAGGAGTCTCAAGTGGATGGCTGCTGAGGCTTTTTTTTCAAGGGTATTTCATACAGCAAAATCACAATATGGGTACAATGTGGGTCACACTGTAATTAACCTACAGTTTTACAAGTATAGTCACTTAGCTAATATTGATCCAATGGAGATGCCAGGCATTAGCAAGGGTATATGGCTAGCATCATTGATCATTAACTTTAGCTTATCTATAATCTCTAATTGTAGAATGAAGAAAGGCATTTTGGGGAGGGGAGGGGAGTGTGAGCCAGATGGTCTGGTCACCTAGCCTATGTGTCTGGTGCTTATCTGGGCTCAGCTGGTCAAGTGGTACTAATTATAGTATAATGGCAAGTTGCTGTTTACTTCTAGGGAGGGTTGCATGTTACTTTCTTGAGGGCTCAATGGCTCTCTATTAATTTTTATCTAACTTACTACCTCTCTTTGATCCTTGTATGGTTCTTTCCACTTGTCATTGTGCCAAATATTAACAGTCATGGTGTTGAGGGTATGTCAGAAATGATATTATGAAGAAGGTAAGAGGTTGAGATTGTCTGGTGGTCCTTCTGGCAGCCATGTAATATCCAACTAGTTTTCACTAGACCACCTGAAGAGAAACTTCTGAACTTCAGAGACCCTACCTGCAAAGATAAAAAGATGGGCAGGCCACCATACCACCTCCCTCATGGCAGAGGAGGTGAGCCAATCCCAGTGCCCAGGAGGAGGCTTCCCAGCCACCATTCCACTGCTCCTAGGGTAGAGGAGGTAACCCAATCCTAGTGCCCAGAAGGAGGCTCCCCATTGTCATTCCACCACTCCCAGGGCAGAGGAGGTGAGCTGCATAGGCGCCAACAGCATCTGCCTCCCCCCGTCCCATGGAAATGAGAAGACACATAAACAAGCCTCAAAAACAGACTTCCAGATCACCTAGAGCAACCCCAAAGGGAAACAAGATGGAACAATCTGACACCCAACCACCTGAACTCCCTAAACTGGCAACAAAAGAGGATCTGGAAAAAATGAAATCAGAAATAATTTCTCAGATAAAAACAGAGTTTGTGCCCATAGTGCAAGACATGATTAATAAATCTAGAGAGGACACAGATAAAAAAATAGAGGAGCTGAGAAACATGATAGAATCCCAACATGGGAAAGAAATGGAATCCATAAAACAGATACAAACAGATTTCCAGGAGATTAAAAAATCCACTGAAAGCCTGCACAGCAGAATGAACCAATGTGAAGACAGAATTTCAGATATAGAAGATAAGATTGCAGTTAGTGACCAGAAAAAGACAAATTGCTTCAAATTTGTAAGGGACCCCGAGAAATCAATCCAGCAGCTGCTAGACAATGCAAAGAAGAATAACATAAGACTGACTGGAGTCGATGAAGAAATAGAAGAGAGTGCAGATGACATAAAAAACTGTTCACAGAAGTGATGGCAGAAAACCTCCCAAGCAGGGGAAAAGAACTTGACATACAGATAAGTGAGGCATAGAGGACTCCAACAAGCCTTGATCAAAAAAAGTTTACACATAGGCCTATAATAGTCAAGATTCCAGAAACCCAACAGAAGAACAAAATTCTACAAGCAGTGAGAGAAAAGAAACAAATCACATGCAAAGGAAAGCCCATCAGAATCACAGC